TGGGCAGTTTAATCGCAAGGTCGTGGGTTCGATCCCCACAGACGGCGCCAAATTGTTTCGGGTGAAAACAATGGGACCTTGCCGAAGATCCGCTGAAACGGAGAAGACTAGATTCGGTCCAAGTAATGTTGGGCCGAAGGTTTCCTGCACAGTAAACACACGTAAACTAGCCTCGGGGGTGTTGCCGAGGAAGGCCCCTCCGATGCTAAAGTCAGTACAATGTGTAGAAAGAGAACACTATGCAAGAGAATTTGTTGCTTGAGGCTTTGCTTGAATGAATCAGAATGTATGAGAATATATGAATGAATGTGTATCCATGTAAAGATGTAATATTGATGGCTTTTATACCTATTCATACATGGAGAAGTTGGGCCTTAGCCCAATTGGCTTGCTTTGAGGGCTGACCTTTGACTTTAGCACAATTGGAGAGATGAACCTTGACCTTGGGCTTTTAATTGGATCATTTAATGCCTAGGCCCAATTGGACTAAATTGGACCCAAACAGTTAGATTAGGAATTTAGGACTAATAGTTTGTGGAAAAGACCTTGACATATATACAAGTTTTTCTATGAGCCCAAGATTGTTAGAGACTTAGTTAAGAGGTTGATTTGCTAATGCCTTTTCTTTTGAACCAAATTATGCAACTCTTTAGTCATCATGCTTGATAGTAGCAATGTCAAAGCCCTTTATAGAAGGACTTTAGCTAAAATCAAGCTCTACCAACTGGAAGAGGCTTATGAGGACTTTGGTAAGGCAGCCAAGATTGAGCCTAATAACCAGAACATTCTTCGTGAATTGGAGAAAGTAGTGAAGGGCCTAAGTTGCAAGGCTAGCAAGGGGTACTGACTACTGAGGATTCCGCTATGACTCACTCCAACTATAATAAAAAGGGAAATAAAATTATTGAGGCGTTGGCTAGTCTTGTGTGTAACCAATTACAATAAAAAGGACAAGGGACGGGGGAAAATTGAAAAGAAGGCGGTCCTTAAAGATTTCAAAATTGTCTTTCTCAAAACTCAAGCAAGTGAAGACTTTGAGTTTCTTCAACCGTTTTGCCAACTCATGGATGATCGTACAATTGAAGGGCAAGACTACACATGATAAGCATACTAATATTTACAAGGCGATGGACCCTTAAGGTCCAAAAGCCTTGTCCATGCCAAGTAGGATGGTGAGTCCAGTTGAGAGGAGACACAACAAAAAGAAAAAGGTCGTGATCTCTCCTTATTCTGAAGTACTCAACCATGTTGTTCGATTTGGTAAGCTCGGCACTAATGTTGTTGAGAAGAAAGATGTGTCTATTTCTCCATGTCTAACTGATACTATGAGTGTTCAAGCATGAAGAAGGGGAAGTGAAGTTCTTATGAGAGACTTTCCAACCACCGAAGAAAGTGAAATCCGTAGATTTTAATGAAGAAGACGTCGTGATTATGTGTAGGTACAGTTTGATTTTATGATTCAATTCTAAAAGCCCTTTCCAATTCAAAGTAGAATCTTGATTTTAATAACTTTGCTTATATCGGCTTAGAATAATAAGCGTATATTGTACAAATGATTATTCTTATTCTTGTAGCTTAAATCTATTGATTTTCTTTGTTTTTATTTTTATTTTTATTTTATTTTTTATTTCAAATAATTTTTTATAAATTTCTTGGACACTATTAAGGCTCCGTTCACTTCACCTTATTTTTGATGAACATAAATTATTTTTACTGAAACAAAATTATATTTGCTGAACTTAATTTTTTTTTTACGAACTTAAATTAATTTTTCTTAACTGAAATTATTTTTTGCTGAACTATAATTATTTTTACTGATTTTCTATTATAATTCTTCTTTAGGATAACTGAATTTTACTGAACTGAACTTATTTTTACTGAATTGAAATTATTTTTTTACTGAATTGAAATTAATTTTACTAAACTGAAATTAATTTTACTGAACTGAAATTATTTTTACTTAATATTTTTTTTAAAGTGAAGTGAACAGAGCCTAAAAGACACACACAAAAAAAAAGGGTCAAAGAATAAAAAAAGAAAAAATATAGAGAAATATTCAAAATTATGCATAAGAATTAATCAAGAAAAATTACAAGATTACGCTTTGACTAAATATTTTCAAGATTACATTTAGCTTTTTTTTTTTTTCCAGTATTCAATTTTATATAAATATATTTGCTCTCAATTTCTTAAATATTACAACTTATTCACATGCTAATTTCAACTTTTGAGATATTAAATCATAAGAGTTTCTCTTTCCATTCATTTTTTGAGATTTTTTTAAACTCACAATTTATTTAATTTTTTATTATTTATTTGCCGATAATCTTGGGTTCATGAGCATGGAGGAGAGAATTATTTAGCATAAAATGAGAATTAACAACTTTTTTAAAAAAAAAAAAAAAACAAAACAACTAGTAATTAAAAAAAAAAATCTTTCGGCAAGAAAAAAGGGTGAAAGGTCACAATATGTTAATTTTTATACCAATTTGTCGCAATTTGTTAACTTTTATACCAATTTGTCACCGGTGTTGACTTTTATACCAATGTGGCACGAAGGTGCTAACTTTTATCAATAACAATATACTAAAAGACACACCAGCAACGACACGCGTCATTTCCTTGTGTGTCTAAAAACAAATTAATCTATTTAGGAAACAAATATGATCTTATACACAAATAAAAGAATAAAAAAATTTAATGTCTTCTTCCACAATATATATTGATACCATAAAATAATAAACTTAAGTAAAAAACTAAAAAAAAAAAAAAAAGACATTTTCTAAACATAATCTGAGACATGCATAGTATTGTATTACTGTACCATTATTACAACAAGGATTTTTTTTTTTTTAAATTAAAGAATTTTGTATCTAATTGTGTATGTATGAAAAACTTGCCGGGAAATATATGAAAAAAATATTTTAAGTCAGTTAATTGTTGTAAAAAAATATAAATAAAAATTACTCCCTCCGTTTTTAAATACTTGCTCCATTTCTCCATGTGCGGAGTTTTAGGAGAAATTGGAAAAAGTAATAAAATATGGAGGTAGTGGGTTAGTCGAGAAAATAAAAAATTGTAAAAAGCAAAAGTAGTGAAGAATAGGAGGAGAAAGAGTATTATGTTGGGTCCACTAAGTGTGAGAAATGAATTAAATATTGTAAAAGCTTTCCAAAAAAGGAAATGTAGCAAGTATTTAAAAACGCCTGAAAAAGGAAAGTTGAGCAAGTATTTAAAAACGGAGGGAATATTGCATAAGAGAGAATAAATAATAGTGTGTAAACAAGAAATCTATTTACGGTTTATACAATATTTTAAAGATATTCATTTGATTAATAAGAAGAAATATGTAAGTGAAATATATAAATATACATATATGAGTATTTAAAAATATCTATTTTGCTAATAATAGACTCTTTCATTATAAATTCATTTTACAAAGTAATAACTTAGACATTTCTTTTTTTATTTTTAAAATTACCATGCATGGCACGGGATCTAACCTAGTGATGTTATACAGGAGAGTTCAATAAATTTGGGACACAAGATTGGGCCACGGGATTCGGGCCCCTGCCAGCCCCCCCCCCCCCCCATATGGCTACGCCTCTAATCACACTAGAATAATTAAGTTAGCTTAGGCATGTAAGCATAACATGACACGACGTCAAGATACATGAGTTTCGGCCGTGCTTGAGTTGCACTTTTGTAAATTTTGGAATGTCATTACATAACACATCAAAAATGCTCAATCTTAGATCGCCAAGACACATAGATGCACATATGCATCACGACCTAGCATGACCCAAAACTATCATTACATGCATGAGTTATTTTTTCCGTCCTCTTATAGCTCTTCCTAAATCACACATATTACTTAGCTACCTCATCACCTATTCCCCATCGCAATTGAAACAAAAAAACCGAGAAAGTATAATTGTAACATTATAATCCCATTTGAAAAGAAAAGACCATTAAGAGCACTCCCATAAGTGAGGAGAATTTTTCTCATGAGCAAAAATAGTGAGCAAAATTGTAATAATAGCTTCCCCATCAATGAGCAAGTGGAAAAATGCTCATGAGCATAATTGATTTTGCTCATCCTATGAGCAAATTTGAGGATGAACAGTAAATATGCGGGCCCCAACAACTCTCCAAACTGGCGAAATTATTTTGCTTCAAACACCCGCAATACGCCTCGTTTTGGAAAGCCCACAAAAGGGACCATACCCCAAAACGCATCTTTGTGAAGTCTGGGAAGCAAAAACAAACTAATTCCCACTTACTGACAAGGCGCGTCAGTCGAGTCATCAAGAGGCTAACACGTGTCCCTGTCAGCCTCCTTACCCAATGAGAAAATTTGACCGTTTTAAAACGGTACTTAACTTAAACGGCTATTTTGGCCAATTTTTAAATAAAAAAAAAATCATAAACGACTATAATTTTTTTTCCTTTATAAATAGAGATCCATTTTGACATATTTTGGTACACTTTGGCAAAAATATGGTTCTACTAATGATTAAAAAATTCAATTATCGTATGATAACAATTTAATCTAGTCTAATGTAATCGTACGTTAAAGATTGAATGTAGTCTTGATTTGTACTAATCGTTAATTATTTTGTAGTATGTATTAAATGTAATCATATTAAATGTAATCGTTAATTTTCAATATTATTATTTTTTTTTGAAGGAAAAAAAATTAAAAAAATAGTATAGTTGTAATTAGCACTAAAATTTCATTAAACAAAATATATTAAATAATAGTATGGTGATGTGTAAGAGAGAGAAATGTTGGTGGGGTATGTGAAAAAGTAGGAGAGACAATGATGAACATTTTTTTTTCGCTCACTAGTAGGATAGAATTTACTCACAAAAAATGTTCATGGGTTTATAGCCGCCTTATCGCTTTCGCCTACGCTAACCCAACCCATCAAACCATAACATATGCACATTCTATATTCTCTGACCTCAACAATCCCAATTCATTTACTTGGAACTCCATGATCAGAGCTTATGCCAATAGCTCAACCCCACAAAATGCACTTACTATTTTCTCCCAAATGTTAGCTAGTTCAACTGACCCTGATAAATATACTTACCCTTTTGTTATTAAGGCATGTTCAGCTTTTAGTGGGTTGAATGAGGGTCAACAAGTTCATGGTCTTGTTGAAAAATGTGAGGAAATGAGAGAGAATTTGTATGTTCAGAATACTTTGATTAGCATGTATGCGATTTGTGGGTGTTTTGAAGATGCACGTAAAGTGCTCGGTAAAATGCCTCAGAGAGATGTTATTTCGTGGAATGCGTTGTTGAGTGCGTTTGTTGAGAAGGGTATGATGGATTCTGCTCGTCTTGTTTTTGATGAGATGGAGGAGAGGAATGTGGAGTCTTGGAATTTTATGGTGTCAGGGTTCGCGAAGATGGGATTCATTGAGGAAGCGAGGAGGGTGTTTGATGAGATTCCTGTTAAGGATGTTGTTTCTTGGAATGCTGTCATTTCAGGGTATGCTGATGTGGGTGATTTCAGTGAAGTGTTGGTCCTGTTTCAGGCTATGTTACGCGAGAAAATCAATCCGGATAGTTATACTCTTGTGAATGTTTTATCTGCTTGTGCGAATCTTGGAGCTTTGAGTCAGGGGGAGTGGGTTTATTTGTACATTGATAAGAATGGAATTTGTATCGAAGGTTTTCTAGCTACTGCGCTTGTGGATATGTACTCAAAGTGTGGGGAGATTGCAAAGTTTTGAAAGTTTTTGGTGATACGTTGAAGAAAGATGTCAGCACATGGAATTCAATGGTTGGAGGTTTAAGCATCAATGGATTTGGTGAGGAGGCAGTTGGGATTTTTCGTAAGATGCTAGAGGATGAGTGTAAGCCAAATGAGATTACCTTTGTAAATGTGTTATCTGCTTGCAGTCATGCAGGTTTATTGATTGAAGGTCTTGAGATTTTTAACACGATGATACATGAGTTTAAAATTGAGCCAACGATTGAGCATTGTGGTTGCGTGATTGATCTACTTAGTCGAGTTGGATTACTAGAGGAGGCGAAGGAAATCCTGAAAGGGAGGACTCTTGGACATGATTCCCCTGTTTTATGGCAGTCTCTTTTGTCTTCCTGTATAAATTATGGTAATATGGAACTAGCACGGGATGTTGCTGAGAAGCTCTTAAAGCTGGATCCCCAAGACAATTCTGGTTATGTTCAACTGTCGAATATCTATGCATCTGAAGGAAAATGGGAAAGAGTTGCAGAGGTGAGAAGGAATATGAAGTCCAAAGGAGTAACTAAGGAGGCTGGCTGTAGCATGATTGAAATCGATGGGGTTGTTCATGAGTTTTTAGCGGGCGAAGGTTTTGTTTCCTAATCAGACTTGATGTCTTGTTTTACTGTTGCAGGTAAATCTGTAGGTTGTGTGTCAATGCAATGCCTTCTATCATACTAAAATATGCTGCTACGTATCTGATAGATTGCCTAGTAGAAAACAACTGACAAACCACCTGAAAAATCTCATTGTTAGCAATCTGGAACAATTGACTAGTTATATAATGGGCCACCATTTCTTCTATAGATGCATAAAGCAGTTTGCAGGCAAGTTCATACAGCCCTTACGCAGACCTCTCCAGTTCTTTCCCCATCCCAAAAATCTATAATAAATGATGTTAGGAAAGTATATATTAGCCTGACTGGGAATAATATGATGTGGGATCAGTTTAGTTTTCCTCAAATCTCAGTTTGCTAGCTTATGTGTTATCTGAAGATGGGAACTGAAGACTGAAAAACCCTGCATCTTAGCCGACTTTAGTAAAAACGTGTATAGAACTTATTGCATAGGCTTAGTAGTAGTAGTAGTAGTAGTGTAGTAGTAGTAGTGTAGTAGCAGCAGTAGCAGCAGCAGCAGCAGCAGCAGCAGCAGCAGCAGCAGCAGCAGCAGCAGCAGGAGGAGGAGGAGCAGCAGGAGCAGCAGCAGCAGCAGCAGCAGCAGCAGTAGTAGTAGTAGTAGTAGTGGGACTTTACATCAGCTCTTCAATTATTATCAAAAAAGAAAATTTCTGGACTGAGAATTCTACTTATTTAGTAGTATCTGAACCTATTGCTGTAATTGGATGTTAAAGAATGTATGGCTAAAGAGTAAGCTTTCTAAATGAGGTGCCGCGTTAAAATGTTCTGATGTCATTACCAAATCAGTCTGACAGGAAATTATTCTGAAACGCTAGTCATAAACTTGTAACCACACCAAAGAAAAATCTAGATTCCCTGTAAAACAGCAGAAGAAATGCTGAATTATTGATGCAGGTGCTCTGCTCTATTGGATCATAAATTTTCCCAGAGAATCCATCTTGTTGCTGATAAGGTAATCTGGTAATGTATTGATGATAATGGGGCTATTGTATATGATCTTTCTAGTAGATTACATGGTATAATATAAAACACATAGATCATACGAGTTCATATGCTTTAGAAATCTACGCAATTTTCATCTTCAAGTTAGTCTGAGGAAACATCCTGACTACAATTAAAGGTTAAAGCATAGATACAGAAAACTATTTACATACAGTTAGGATTAAGAGTAGCTGCCTTTTCTTTTAGAAACAAAAAACAGTTAAACATTGAACTAATGTTTCTTTGGTAATCTTTGGTTAGACTAGGCTTCTTCCAGCTCACGCCATACTTGTCGAAAGACCTTAATGATGAGATCATGGTACTCATCGGCGTTCAAAGTAAGATAACAAGCCAACAACTCTTCAAGTTCCTCTGCCCTTCTGATTCTTTTCTCCATAATCATCTCAAGCATTGAATCTCTGAAATCCTGTTGTGGATTGCGCGAAGTTTTGACTACAGCAAAACTTCCTAATTCTGCTACTCTATTATCCAGTTGCAATTCCTTTATCTTCTTTTTTGTTTTGGCTTTTTTCATGTCTTCCAGTGCTTTTATCTTGCAAGATTCCATCTTGGAAGGTGTCTTGGGAGAGCTAACTCTGATCTTATTGCTTCCCCTTCCTACATGAAAAGACTTCCTCTGTTTCTCACCTTTCATCAGCACCTCTTTTATTTTGGCATCTTTCAGTTTTTGCCACTCTGATCTCTGATCATTTCCATCAGTTGTTTCATGATGATAGCAGCCGAAGTCCCTGAGAGCTGCATTCGGGTTTTTATCTGAATCATTGCTAAGTAGCCTTTCATCAGCCCTTCCCACCATCTGCATTACAGGTAAAAGCTCAAAATCTGACAATTCCTTTTCGACAGACTTTCGATACCCATTTACTTCATCCAATTCCCTATGTAATTCCTCTGTTACTTCCATAATCCTCCGATATGTCCTTTGCAGACTTTCATTCTTCTCAGCTTCCTTACTTACATCACCCTTTTCCGGCAAATTCTCAGCCTTCACAACTTTAGACTTCTGGCTCCTCTTCTTTGCTGTACCTTCTTTAACATTTGATTTACAGTTGCCAAAATAATTCTGCGGAGCCACAAACTCGTTTCCGCCTTCCTTACTCCCCTCATTAATCGAAAGCCTCCAAAAGCCATCATTATCCTGAGTATAGAACCTACTATCCAAGCAATAACTAGGATGCTTTGGTGTTGCTCTTGATGAATTCCTCACCCTTTGTAAACTTTGCTGCTGCTGCTTCTCTTTTTGGTTAGCTTTATGCATCTTAGAACCCGGGTGATCGCTTCGCTTGAATTTCGAAAGCCATGAAAGAGGAAAGACATGGGATATCAAATGAGACTGAGAGGAAGAAGACGACGACGAAGCTGAAGAAGGTTTCTTCCTTCCCCAGTTCATCATTTACAAAGTTTTTAGTGTTTTACCTTAATTTCCTGTGAATGTGAAGGTGGAAAGAGGGGAAATGATGGGAAAATAGGAGTAATGAAAAGGAGGAAAGAGCAGTTGAGAACGGTTGCTTTAAGTTTTACTGATAGTGGATGTGAGTTTGGGTTTAAAAGAAAGACCCGCCTTATTTCTTGTGAGCATTTCCCCCACTTTTTCCACTTTTGTATAAAAGATGGGCCCACTTGTTCTCCATGTAAAGTGGAAGATGGAAGACTCACTATGCGTGCCCTCATTTGGCACACAAGTCTTTACCTCCTCTATAACGATAACGCTATATAATAGGGGAAAAAAAAAATTTAAAAAATGAAAAGCTTTTTAACAAAAAAAATGAGGTTAATTTTTGTAAGAGAGAAATAAAATGTTAGGCTCAAAAATATGTACTCCATACAATTATAAATTAGTTGCTACACTTTTATTTTCACGGTCCCCTATACAATTTTTAAGGGCAAATACAAGTTTATTTGCCAGATAAACGAATTTTTGTTAATTTGATGTCATTTTTGTAAATATATTGAGAAAACATGGTCATTTATTCAATACTTGTGTCGAGCTGTCCAATTAATGTTTGCAATTTGCTTTTACTGTTTGGTGGGGAAATTACACATGTACCCCTCAAGTAGTACATGAAAAGACTTATGTACCTCTCTACTAGTACTTAAAAAGACAATTATACCCCCGTAGAACTCATTTTTTAAGAGGTGAAAGATAGAAAGAAAAATAAAAAGGACCCATGAAAGAGATAGAGAGAAAGAAATGTAAAAAATAAAAAGTGTTACAACTAATTAAAAATTTCTAAAATAAAAAGGTGTAGCATTTAGAAAGAAACGAAGGAAGTATGACATTGATTGATTTAAAGGTTTATACTAGATTAATCAAGGTGTGTCACAAAAAAAAAAAAAAAAAAAAAGGATTAATCCAATGGGTAAAACTTTATTAAACATAGTGGTTTTAGGGTGATGTCCTTTGACTCAATCATTGGCATAAATTTAGGATTACATGGTTAGTTAAAGAGCATAAAATATGTAAAATAGAGCCATGGTTTAATGAGTTTGAGAAGATGATTCATACGGTGATTGAATTGGGCAAGTGAGAAATTGATTCAAGATTTCAGTCGCTCAAATTTAAATAATGCATTATAATGTCATCGATCAAATTAATTATGTTAATAGGTTTTATAAATTACTAGGCTTTAAGAAGGGGTGCAATAGGGGAGGTTATTTAGCAGAAAACTTAAAACATGAGTTATATGATATGGAGTAAGAGCATCTCCAATGTTTTATTAAAAGGGCTTATTTACAAATTTAATAGGATAATTTGTCAGTTACTACCGCAAGTTAATACCACTTTGTAAATTACTACCACAAATTAAAAAAGTTGTGAATTACTACCGTAAAAAATTTTAAGATGTCGCGGTTACTACCAAAACCCCATTAAACCCAACTATGACGTCATTATATCCCTTTAACCCGTGTTTGACCATGGTTAAGGGCTTTAACCAGCCCCCTCCCAAAAAAAGAAAACGGGTTAGGGATATAATGACGTCATGGTTAAGGACTTTAACCCATGTTTGACCATGGTTAATAGCTTTAACCATAGGTTAAAGTGATATAATAACGTCATAGTTGAATTTAATGGGGGGTTTGGTAGTAATCGCAACATCTTAAAATTTTTTGCGGTAATAATTCACAACTTTTTTAATTTGCGGCAGTAATTTACAAAGTAGTATTAACTTGCGGTAGTAATTGACAAAATTTCCAATTTAAAAAGTACAAAAATAGAAAATTAACCATTAGAACAACATTGGCACTTGGCAGCCCTGTTTGGATGATCAGCTCATTTAAGCTAATACAATTTTATGTATGATGTATTTCAGTTTTTTTAGGGGTCTATCTTTATCATGATTCTTTTAAACATTTTAATTTTAATTTTTTTTTAAACAAACATTTTAATTTTTCTTAGTCATAAATTGCTTTTTTTTTTTTTTGTTGGTATTATTTTTGTAGACTAAAATGTAAACATATTATTTGTAGACTAAAATATTAAACATATAAAAAAAATTAACAAATATTTGATGAGTCAAGCTACAAAGTACTGTAGCCAACCGATGTGGAACTTTATAGCTTAAACCTTTGTAGTTTTAAAATCCGACGGAAAAAACAAGCGACAATGTATTGTAACTTGCCGTTGAAGATGCTCTAATGTTCCATATTATTTGATTTCTATTTTGAAAGAGAAATATAAATTTTCTACTTGGGGAATCCTAAACTCAAAAAATTGAAGAAGCTATTTTGAAAATCTAACTTTTTATTCTTAATTAATAAGAATACTGTCATAACTTTTTTTTTTCTTTGCAAAATTTAGATAACAAATTATTAATCGTGTTATAATGTACTGATTACAATTGATAATCGATAGTATATACTAAAGTAATTTTGATTATTTCAAAAATACACGTGTTGCGTCCAAAAAAAAAATTCCACAATTTTTTTTCTTTTTTCACTTCTTTTATTTTCTCATATATACTTATAAGTTAAATAATAAAAGGTATGCAGCTATCATCATAAATTACAAGAGTAACAAAATATAAAAAATAAAGGCCAATTTAGATATCAATTTATTTATTCCGACCAAAAATTAAATTTATTTATTTATTTATTGACACAGTCAAAAGATTGAAATGAAAATGATTAAAAATAAAAAATAAAAAAAAGACAAACAAACAAAACAAAATATATATGACATCATAAGTGCATTTGGCGGAAAAAAATTTCATGAGAAAGTGACACATATACATTTGAGAGAGCGGATGAAGTCATCATATTTCTGTTTTAGTAATAGTTAATAGATTAGATAAGATAATTGATAGGGAAATTCCCATTGATACACTCCAGGTATTGACTTTTCTCAGCGGTACCACATTTTTTTTTGACTTCCTGCTGATACACTTGAGGTTTTGACTTTATAATTGACGTGATTAAGTCTGTTAATAAGACGTTAATAACTTAGTAATTCTAGGTTAAAAGCTGAGATTAGGTGAAAAGACTAAAATGCCCCCTTTTAATCCTTCCCTCCATCACCCATAATTAAACCCCTTCCCCTTCCATTTATGTCGATTTGACACAAAACAAACTCCTTGTTCAAATTTCATCTCTCTCTCCTCTGCTCTCTGCATCATTCACGACGAAGTCCAAGGGTTTTGCAAGGGAATTGCGTTGATCTTTTTGGTCTACAAAATCATTAGAGGATAATCTAGCACAATTCAGGTACTTTAGCACTACTACTATTCATTTTTGCATGATTTGGTGCAGTTGTGATGTTCTTTTTTCTTTGCGATTTTAAGTTAAATTCATGATGTAAATGTTGTATATTTGTGCGATTTTAGGGTTTTTTTTCAGGTATATTAGGTGCGTGATTATGTGTGTTCAATTATTTATGTAGAGTATGTATTTAATTTGGATGAAATGGCATGATCCTGTTTCATTGATTTACTTGAATTGGAATGTATTTGCTTATTTGATTGATTGTTGGATACCTGAATTGGGATTTATGTGCATGTTATAGGTAATTGGATACCTGATTTGGAATTTATTTGAATGTTGTGGATTGTTGGATATGATTTTGAATTTATATGCATGTTGTAAGTGTGTATACTGTTTACCTTCTTTTGCAGAATGGGTGATGTTGTGTTAAGGTTTCATTACTTTGATAAGCATGTTGATCTTGCTGTTGACTTAGATAGATGTAATTTGCTTGATTTGGTTGTGGATTTTGAGGACACTGCTGCAGTAGAATTTGAGTTTCCTATAGTCAACCCATCATTTGGTTATGGTTTCAATGAAAAGAATCACCCTTTACTAGATGATGCTGATCTTTTTAAGATGATTCACACCCTAGGTGAGTGTGAGATTTATCACATTTGGGTAGGTTTTGCTAAGAAACCAAGTGCCTTGAATAGAATGACCAATAGGCTAAGGAACAAGTCCAAATCTGCACAACCTTTTGCTGCACCTTCCCAATCTGAACCACCCCATATTGATCAACCTTCTGATACTGCACCCTCAAATGAACAACCCCCTCAAATTGAAACAGATCAACTTGTTCCTGAAACTGAACCTCCCCTTTTTTACCCTTCCCAAACTGAACCTCCCCTTTCTATTGAGGATATCAACCATAATAATGAGTCCTCTCCACCTAGGTATACTGAGGGTTATGAGTCACCCCAAGATGAAACAAATCAATCTGCTACTGAGTATACCAAGGGTAGAAAAGAGTTTGAGAAAAGTATGGAAAATATAGAGAATTCTAGGAAGGTTAAGGGTGCAGCAAAGGGTAAGAAGAAAGCTACAACTAAAACATCCCCAATGCAACCACCATCTCCCAAGTCTCCAAACACAGTCTTCAAGGGTTTACCACTTAGAAGGAGTCCTAGATTTTCACCTTTGGCAGTAACTGACACACCTAATGCTTCTGATGCTGACCCATTGACAAATGCTTCACAAACAATTGTGTTTAGGAAAAAGGTTCCTAGATCAACAGCTATAAGAAAGGGGTTAGTGAAAGGATCAACTGTGACTGAGAAAAGGATGCTAAGTGTTGGTGACAGAGTGAGTCAGCTGCAAGGATCAGTTTCTAGGGTTAATGTAAATATGAGTGAGGGCAGTAGTGCTGGGGACAATGTGGGTGAGGTGCAAGGCACAAGTGATTCTAGAATTAGAAGAAAGATGACTTTTGTTGTAGACAGCTCTGAGTCTGTAGAGACACAACCCAATACTGGTTTCAATATTGGTGAAGAAGATGAGGATTCTGATGGAGATGTTGCACCAAAGGGTTCTATTCCAGCAGATGAGCTAGCACAAGTAACTAGGATTCCAAAAGTGAAGGACAGTTGGAAACCATCAAAATGGTTTGATTTTTTTGATGATGAAGATGATGAGGATTATTTTCAGAGATTGTACAAGAATGGTGAGATGTATGAGGATGCTGACTTTGGTAAAATAACACTCAGACCTTGGATGATTTTTACTGACAAGGCTCACTTCAAGGACACTCTGAAAGATTTTGCTGTTCAAGAAAGGTTTGCCATCAATGTAGAGTATGCTGACAACAAGAGATACAGTGCAGTTTGCCAATCTGAATGCTGTGATTGGAGATTGCATGCCAGCAGACTGGCAGATGGCAGAACATGGGCAATCAAGAAAATATGGCCCAATATACACACTTGCAGGGGCTTAGAGACTTACAACCCCATCTGCAATGTGAAATGGGCATCTTAAAAAGTCATGGAAGACATCAGGGCTAACCCAGACATTCCTGGGAAAGCACTCAATGAACTCCTTTTTCAGAGATATGACATCTACATGAGGCAGTCAACCTTGTACAGGTTAAAGAGCTATGTGATTGAGCAGTTGTTTGGAGGGCATGATGAGTCATATAGACTACTGCCAATGTATGCTAAGATGTGCATAGAAACAAACCCAGAGTCCAAGGCTTTTTGTGCATGGAATGAAACAGAGTCTATCCCTAAACAACTTCAATTTTCAAGCCTTTTTATATCATTCACTGGACAATGGAAAGGTTTTTTAAGGGGTGTTAGACCTTTAATTGGTGTAGATGGAACCCACCTTAAAGGTAACTATGGGGGGGTATTGCTCTCTACTGTGGGAATAGATGGCAATAATGAGATCTTCCCCATAGCATATGCTGTAGTTGGCCAAGAAGACAAGCAGTCATGGACCTACTTCTTTTGGCATTTGCTGAACATTGTAAAAGATTCATCAAGAGAGCATTGGACTATTATTTCTGATAGGCAAAAGGCAAGTGTTTGTTGCTTTTTTCAAATTTTCATTCTTTTTTTTTTATATGCAAACATACAAATGCTCATGCTGTAATCATTGTTTCAGGGAGTTGAACTTGCACTAGAACAAGTATGGCCAAAAGCTGACAGGAGGTTCTGCTATAGGCATCTAAGTAGAAACTACAAGAAGCTATTTCCAGGCCCTATGATGTATGTTCTATTCTGGAGAGCATGCAATGCTTCTTCAACTTTCACATTCAGGAAAGCTATGGAGAAGTTGCAAAAAGCAGGAGGAGATGATGGCATGACTTGGTTTGCAGAATTGGGAGAGAAGTCTAAGTGGAGTAAGCATGCATTTGACCCAAATGTTTGCAATGACTCCAATACATCCAATTTTGTAGAGAGCTTCAACTCTACTCTAGGGGTGAATAGGTGTAGGCCTATTTTGACTTTGCTAGAAGGTATTAACCCACCTCTTACTGTATTAACATTGTCATTTTATTCTGATTTGGTTTGTTTTTCTAAGTAAGATAATGTTGTGCGGGAATAAGGAGGGTATGTATGGTTAGAATAGCAACAAGAATGGAGAATGCAAAGTCTTGGAATGATGAAGACATAAATCTAAAAATTGTGAAGCTAGTGAAAGAAATAGGAAAAGCTAGCTCAAAATGCAGAGTATTCAAGTCCAGCCCAGGTGAATATGAAATTCATGAAGGAAGATCACAATTTCCTCTCAGCTTAAACAAGAAAGTTTGTTCTTGTGGGGCATGACAACTGACAGGTGTGCCTTGTAGGCATGCCATTAGGGCTTGCATTGATGCCAAGTTGGACCCACATGACTTTGTCAGTTCCTGGTACTCTGTGAAGACTTATAAGCAAGCTTACAGTGTCTGCATCAACCCAATTCCTGACACAGAGCAATGGCCTGCAGATGAGTCAGGTAGAATCATCATGCCTCCTAAGATGAAGAGGGGAATTGGAAGACCAAGCAGGAACAGAAAGAGGGAAGAAGGTGAGGAGCAACCTGGAAAAAGGTCAAAAACAGTGAAATGCAGCAAATGTGGTTGCTTTGAGCATAATAAGACAACCTGCAAGGGAGGCTTAACAGGAAAAGAGTTGAAGACAAATGAGCCTGTTGTCATCAAGAACCCTAGGGTCAGAGACCAAAGTAATGCAGCAAAGGCAGCTAAGGCAGCAAAGCAATCTGAAGCACTTGGATCTCAGTCTGCAGCAACTCAACCTTCAGCATCTCAAGCAGCAGCTTCAACCAAAAAAACTAAGGGAAAGAAGGGCAGACCCTCAGCTGAGCAACAAACAGTGCTGACAGCCTCACAGTTGCCTAGCCAACCAATCCAGATGTCTCAAGGAAACTCTCAAAGCTAGCAAGTGTTCTATTTTGCAAAGTAGTAGCAAATGCTTTTTTTGGTGATTTGGATAGAAAGTCAAAATTTGTAGTCAACTCTATATGTTTTGGATTTTTTTGCTGAACTTACATGGTAATGTTGAAGAATTATGCCATTTTGTCTATATTAAGAATGGTGGCCACATTTTGAATGATATTCCAGACTTTAATGAATGTTGGCAACTGATGCCATTTTGTTCAGCTTGTTGATTTTAGTTGATCTCAATGATTGATTCATTCAAAACCAAGAAAATACAACCTTACTCAATCAAAATGCAAATTATTTTTCCATTTTCATTCAAAACCAAGAAAATACAACCTTACTTTTATAATTTGTTCCTAGTACACTTAGTCTCTGAAGTACATGGCAACTAAATACACAATGCTCATTTCAGGGTTACAAACAGTAAAATAAGATACATCACAAAAACAATTCTAACAACCATATAAACATAGCTTGCAAACTCATATGCTTTGTCTGTGAAATCAATAAATTCCTCTCTTAATACTCTCAAATTGGATGATTCTTCATGATTGGCTATAATTTGATCTTCAGGAACCCACATGAACAAACCACAATGCCTGCACTTATAATATGACCTCCCTGGATTCGAAATTGAGTCAGACACCCTAATATCAGCAAGTCTTGGTGGATTACAATTGCATTGAATTCGTCTCACCCACATGGACCTCCCAAATCTGCTGCCAGAAGAGGAACCACTGCCTGCAGAACCAGCCATGTCAGAACAGCAGGGACTAACAGAAATAAAAAGAAAAGAAGAAGAGGTGAGCTCGAAAAAATGGAGGGGAAATTTTATGGAGAATAGAAGAGGGAAAGTGGGGTTTTATAGGGAGAGAATAAGGGTTGGGAAGTTGGAGGGAAATAACAGCAACATTAAGGGGGAAATTTTGGAGGGAAATGATTACAAAAATGGGGGTATATTAGTCATTTCATCTATTACTAAGCCTAAAATGTGAATAAAATAAGTTATTAACGTCTTATTAACAAACTTAATCACGTCAATTATAAAGTCAAAACCTCAAGAGTATCAGCAGGAAGTCAAAAAAAAAATGTGGTACCGCTGAGAAAAGTCAATACCTGGAGTGTATCAATGGGAATTTCCCTAATTGATAAGCAAGAATTATATTAAAAGAGAATATGTAGCCTAAACAACTCAAAAAAAACCCAATAATGACAACTTTAAATAAATCAGATATTTTTTAAAACGTTAATCTTTAAAATGTACATCTTGAAATCTTCTGTACTCTACATTAACGTATCTCATCTGTTATAATTTGATAATAAAGTTAGATACAAGTAGTTAAATGTATACGACATCTATAAACAAATACGAAGTTGTAGTAATTTATATAAATAATTTTTTTCCTTAGGTGTTTCAAAAAGATATACTCCTATTATTGAATATATATTCCATTTTAAACTTAGTTTAAATTCTAATTAGTTAAATTTATTGATTGTTGATTGATGACATGACTCTAAGGCCCTGTTCTCTTCACCTTAATTTTGCTGAACTGAAATTTTTTTTATTGAACTGAAATTATTTTTGCTGAACTTAAATTATTTTTTACTGAACTGAAATTAATTTACTGAACTGAAATTATTTTTTCTGAACTTAAATTATTTTTACTGATTTTTTTTATTATAATTCTTCTTTAAGAAAACTGAATTTTACTAAACTGGACTTATTTTTACTGAACTGAAATTAATTTTATTGAACTGAACTTATTTTTACTGAACTAAAATTATTATTACTTAATATTATTTTTTTAAGGTGAACATAACAGGGCCTAAGTAAGGAAATCCCACCCATCACCCATGAATTATGCAATTATGGCTAATACTTTCCAAAAAAATCAAAAAATTTAAATTAGGCAAAACTAATTATGAACAATTTTTGTACTTTAATGTTAAATTCCAAATGTTATTCTTTTCTTATTTTATGTGATTGATTATATATGGGAGGGAGTACTAAAATAAACATTAGGAATAACACAGGTGGATTCTTGGTGCAAGATTTTCCCTCCAATCCTTTTTTTTCCTTTATGTTAGCTATATTCTAGGAAATCTAATCTAATATATGTAAATTTTTTTCCTTACTATATTTCAATAATATTTTTTGTTTTTTTTTTCCCCAATCGTTTTCCAGACAACTTTTTTTTTTTTTTTTTTTTTTTGTTCCACACGAAGGGCTAAACCCTAGCATTGTCATAGCTACTTTTAATGCAATGGTAATCATTTTTAATCAATTTACTTGTAGTACTTTTGAATTATATTAACATAAATATATATATCCTTTTAGTACTCAAAAGAAAAATATATAACTATAATGAACATTTCTTAAACATACGTAGGGCATGTTCATATTTACTCAACTGAACTGATTGGAGCTGAACTGAACTGAACTGAACTGATTGGAGCTGAACTGAACTGAACTGAACTGAACTGAACTGAATTAAGCTGAAATGAATATTTTATGAGAGAGGAAAATTAAGAGCTAAACTGAACTGAACTGATTGGAGCTGAACTGAACTGAACTGAACTGAAAATAAGTAAATATGAACAGGCCCGTAGTATATCAAAATAAATACGCCAATATTCTTTTATCTATCATAAAATATCTAAACTCATGCACAAACCAACATAATTTGACTGTGCTTTGTGCTTTATATGATAATCTCTAATGGACATATATACATACATCTTATAACTAAAATAAAAACTAATAAGGGCTAATAAGTTCAGATAAAATCAGATAGTTTAAGATCAAAAGTTCATATTAGTAAAAATCAAGTGAATAAAACACACTGGATATATTCTGTTCACCTTATTTTCCCTTATTTCAGGTATAATAAGTTATAATAAGTTCAGTTAATTTCAAATAAGTTTTGATAAGTTAAGATAATTTTAGATAAGATCAGATAAGTTCATATCAGTAAAATTCAAGTGAATTGAACACACAGGGTATGTTTAGTTCACCTTATTTTCCTTATTTCAGGCGTAATAAGTTCAGATACGTTCAATTAAGTGAAGATAAGTTCAATTAAGTGAAGATAAGTTCAGATCAGGTTTGATAAGTTTTGATAAGGGTTACCCAAGTACAAATTACAACTAATATAAGTTTTAATAAGGTCAAATAAGTTAAGACTGGTAAGTTCAGATAAGTTCAGATCAATGAAAATCAGGTGAATAGAACACACTTGAATTCTTATCACAACTTATATGAACTTATTTTTCCTGAACTTATTTTATTTGAACTAATTAATCCTGAAATAAGTGAAAATAAGGTGAACAAAGCAGTACTCCCTCCGTTTTTATTTTTTTAATGCATCAATTAGACTTTTATTAATTTTTTTGCTATGATAAAATAAATGAATGTTTTTGGGTTTTTTTTTTTTTTTGAAGAGAAAGAAAATAAAATGTTATTATACAAAGTATAATGTAAAAGTTCTTAAAAAAAAGTATCCTCTCCGTTTCATAATGTTAGTCCCATATGGAATCAATCACATAAAATAAGAAAAGAAATATATTTTGGAATCTAACACTAAAGTACAACAAAATTCATGATTAGTTTACCTTATTTAACTTTTTTGATTTTTTATTAGGAAAGCACGAGTCATAATTGCATAAATTAAGGTAAATATTTCCTTACTTAGAGTTATGTTATCAATCCACAACCAATTAATAAAAAAAAAAATCAAGTTATAAATGAAATATATTCAATATGGGTAGAACTTTTTTAAACGCCCAAGATAGTATATAGGACTAACATTATGAAACGGAGGGGGTATAATGTACAAAATAAAAATAGAGGGAGCATTTTCATTTTAAAAAAAAAATAAATAAAATTAAAAAAATAAAATAAAATAAAATAAAATAAAAACTGGCAGTTTCAAGAAAGTGTTGCAATAAAAAAACGAGAGGGGAGTATCAGATAAAAAATGATCAAATAGTCCTTCCACTCGAAAATTTAAGGGATTCTGCCATTAATTTTCAAATAATGCAAAGGGCTAAAATATAGGTACTATATTCAGAAACAGGGAAAGACAATTATCAGGATCAATATATGGTGTTACTTTGGTTAGTTATGCTTTTGCCTTTTGGCTTT